AGCAAAAAACATTTCCTTTAGGAATGAATGGAATCATCTGATTTGTGCAATTAACTGTTTGTAGCTTTCAACAGTTCAGTGTTAGTTTTATATGAGCATTTGCCTTTCTACAACTTACGCAACTGATAAAAAAGTAGTTGCATTTGTCATGTACAGTTCTTTGATTTTGCTTCATTCTAGTTTTATCTCCTGTTATTGATAATTTTATGTCTAATTTCATTGGTAGTATTACCATCACGTTACGTAATAATTGCATTGTTACTCTTAATTAAGCTCATTAGAATTTGCTCACAAATTCGCACCTTATTTGCTGTACTTTTTTTTACCCCATTCACGCCGCCATAGGAGGTTTCCCCCGTCAGTGTCTGTGAAACTTTGGGACCTCTCCCTGCATGTACTTTTCCAACCATGTCACCGACTGTGAAACATGCGATAAACTTGACTCTTGGTTGGAAACTTGGCCTGAAAAAAAAAAAAAAACGCCTTCTAACTTAATGCGAATGCTATCCGTCTGAGAACATAATGATCCAAATTGTTGGTCCACTGACATGGTGATGCGCGGCGTGTCAGAGGCGCTCGCGGAACACTGCCCGCTGACAAGACATAGCAGCGCTGCACGAGAGTGTACAATATGTGTAGCGGCAACCGCGGCTGCACGGTGATGAGCTTGCTTGAGCGCGACCCAGCGACCGAAAATAGAAGCCCAACGACGGCGGCTGCGGTGAGGAGGAAAAAAAAAAAAAGACGCCTTCATGGTAAAGGGAGCCGCCGACATACGAACTTACAGGAAGGCGGACGCGATAAAACGTCCGCGCCCGTCCTCGGCATTTTCGCACGCGCACGCGAGAGCGATCAGAGCGAGCTCTTACGTCGTGGCATTGCCGCTGTCAGGCAAACACCGGCGTGTCCTGTCGACTGCGCCACGGTCCATCAATACAAAAGAGACGATACACGGCGAAAATCGCTTAGGCACTCTTCAGACATCGGATATATATATAATGCAAAAAAAAAAAAGAATCCGCTGGCTTTCTTCCCCTAAGCGCTGACTGACGCCATAAAAGACTCTTTAGGAGACGCATGCCATCTTTGGGGATCATTATGGTCTCTCCGGGAAGTGGTGGCACCCAAAAAGAAATTAATGTGTCTTTTTAAAGGCAGTCATGTGTACGTCGCAAATGAAGAGCCACGGGAAAGAGTAAGAAATGCGCTCTCTGTTTGCTTTCTGAGATATAGCTCCCGCATACATTTGAGCATGCCCATTGGCTAGAGAAATCTCAGTTACGACAGAAAAAAAAAAAAAGAAAAAGCATGAGCCTTCATGTATCTAAGGAAAGCACGGAAACAAGACGCACCAATTTATCTGTTTTATCATCGTCCTTCGCGTCCCGAAGCGAATTCTTGGTCTTTTCAACTATCTCACAGTTAGTTTCTTTGACGATCCCTCTACGGAAATTCAGCGCGTACCCTTTTCTTTGACTTGCTTGTAGAAAAAATTAATGCACGCTAATTTCTTCCGTATATCATGTGTCATGAAAACAAAAACAACATGTCCCAGCTCATCCACGAGTCCGTGAATATGCCTAAAAATGTCAACACGAAGCCAGGATTTTACGAGGCCGCAGTTAGTAATGAAAGACCCCTGGTCAACTATGGCCCCCCGAGATCTCTTAACATGAACCTAAATGTAAACACATTTAAGAGCATACAAGTTCGCACTTCACCCACATCGAAAGGCGCCAAGCTGAGTTAAAAATGACAGCCATCCAACTGCGGCAAGTAAGCATGTGTACTAAAGAAAAAAAATGCAGTCTCCACTCATTGCTTGTACAGCTTACTCATACCGTCGTCCTGTCTCCAAGGGAAATGCTGGGCAATCTTATTCTCGTCCTCGACAGCTCGAATTCATGTGATAATTAACAGCATCGTCATCATCATCATCATGACGGCGCCAACTGCGGGGCAGAAGCCTCTTCCATGCCCTGCCCATCAACCCGGCCATTTGTTTTCTGCTGCCCCGTTATACCCGCAAAGTCCTTAATCTCCTCTGCCCACCTAACTTTCTATCTCCGCCTCTTCACGTATAACGCTACAGACTCAACACACGCGTGAGAATCATGCCCTCCAAACTTAGAAAATCGGAACGACGCCCTTCCCACGGCGGTGTTTACATTTCCCTCGTGCGTGCGCATCCGACGACGAGAAGGCGCGTGGGAGCCGAGCGCATCTTCAAGGGACCGAGGAGAGGAGTTCCTCGAACACCCACCGGCGAAAGCCGAGCACCGACGCCAACGTAGTACGTAACGTACGTGCCTCCTTCCTCCGCAAGTAAGCGCTGCCGCGCTTACGCGACTCCTCGTGCGTCGGAATGTGTCGCCGACTTATCTGTGCAATAAAGACAACGTCCTAGACGGTAGACTGCAGGTACGCGACGGAGAAGTGACACGTACCGTGCCAGTTTCCAAACGACGAACGCGGCTTCGCAATCAACGGCCTGAGAACCGGGCCACAGCCGCGGCAGTAGCAGCGTGTCGCCCTACACGTTTCCAAGTTGCGCAGCTTGTGTACCCTATCGCTAATGACGCAAGAAAAAAAAAGCAAGAACAGCTAGGGCAATAAGGTTCGAAACGGGATGCTCCAAGCGTGAGTGTGAAACGTCTTCGCAAACGTTAGCTCGGGACGTTACGGTGATGTCACCAGCGTTACGGTGACAACATGGTTCCAAGTGCATCGTTACTTGAAAGACCTGGCGCATAGTTTAAAAAAAGAGATGACCGTTCTTTCTGTTCTTTCGGTCTCGTCTTCGTTATCCTCGTCTTTAACCTTGCGCCAAGTTTTCTAAGTAAAGATGTTTCAATGCCTTCAGTTTTGTGTGATCGCTCTATGTGTCCAACGCATTCAACATGCAATTTTAATGTCTTCATTGCAATGCTGGTGACATAACATGGACCACGGTAGCCTGGACAAGAGACATGCTTCACAGTACCATCCGCTTCGTTACAGAGTACAGGCTTTCTCCCTACTACGAATCTGTGTGCAATACAGAGGCAGCCTGACCGAACCAGGGCAGCAGCATACGCTGCAGCCTCGCTCTTCTGCATCCCAATAGCCAAGAGAGGCCGCGCACATCGAAGTTACTCGTACACTAGCACTGATACTTGGGCCAGTTGGCGTGGGCCCATGGCTATGAACGGTGCAAGAACACGAGGCACCGAACGATGAAAACACAAGCACGGGCACCTGACTCTCAACTAATTTTCATTCACGTCGACTGGCACATATTGAAATACCACGGTTCAGCGCACGCTTTATTCAAGCAAACGCAAGATGGCGCCGATGACGAAGAGGCACGACCACAACGTTGATGATGGTTATTGACAGATGAGGAAGATGAAGCCCAATGGATTCTTACAACATATACAGACACGTGGACACACACACACACACACAAACAGGTAATACAAAACACAGTGTTTTATCATACTTTATCAAAGCTACATTCATCGCCCAGCAACAAAAGGCAGTGTCGCATTTGAGAAGGCAAATATGATAAAACTTTGCGTGCTGTATTACCGGATTTCTTTTTTTTTTTTCGTGACTACGTGTCTGCATATATGTGTGATTCGACGTAAATTATTTACGTAAATTGTTTATTAAAGGCAATCGCGTGTCCAGCGCCAATTCTTGTGTGTTTTTTTTTCGTTTGGTGTCTCGTGTTCTGGAGCCGTTATTTACGATGTACTCGTACAGTGGCGGTTTGCGCAATGAACAAAAATAGCGTCGATGATGAGAAGCACCACATAGCACATCACCATATTATCGCAGCTGACAGCCCACATGGTGTAAAACGTAAAACACAAGGCACGAAAAAAAAAACAAAAACGTCACGCAGTGGGAGTGCCAGGTCAAGCTGGGTCATCCAGGATGCAAAATGTGGGCTGGCTCAATCGCACTCCGCTTTTGAGAAAGCGAAGTGAACGCGGTGGGGCTACCACATGCCTGAGCTGGACTGTATCGCGCGTCAAGTTCAAGCAAGAAAAAAAAATCTCGGGCGGCATGAATGTGCGAACGACTGCCCAGCACGGTCCATGCAAGACCTCGAACAACAAAGCGGGCGTCGTATCGATACGAAGCTAGACTACTCGATAGAAAGATGGCGACTATGTACAAGTACTAAACTCACTAATATCTGCTATAGCGACACCTCTCAAGTTGAGCCCCATTTCATCGTTTCAACGGAGCATGCGTACACATGACCAGCACGTTGTCCTTGAAGCAGATCTTTGATGGTGCTGCTGGGGATCTGCTACACACCAATGAAGATAGCTACATCACGAACACTGAGGAGCACGAGTTCGTGTCTTGAAGATTACGAGTTTTTCGGTGAAAGTCACCCTTTGTTGCAGAGGCTGCCCTGATTTATTTATTTATGGATTGATTGAAACAACCTGATTGTGAAACGATGCTGAAATGAAAGTCACTGGTATCGCTATAGGTCCTATAGTGCGCACCCATTGCAACTTGCCCTTAAAGACACAGTCAAGATGCTGATTTAGGAGTCCTTGGTTTCAAGAAACGGGCACGTGGATGTCGGAAAAAGAAAAAAAAAAGATTATGTAATGGCCGTGTTGCCATTCCGAACTTCAGCTGAAAACTGCGCTAAACGGCAAAGCAAAAATTAAGATTGATGCAGCACCAAACTCTCGTAGTCTTCGTTGACCGGTTGGTGCTATTTTGACAAATCAGGCTTAGCGAGCAACTAATTATCACCAAATTTACCCAGGTAATGATGCTCGTCTAAGGCTTTGAACAAGTCAGCCCGAGCAGGGTCAGGTATGCCTAGGCCTTGTCTTCGGCGGAGCATCAACTCAACAATAATCGGGACTCCATGGTACCTATAGACCACCCCAAGTGCTTTAGGATGAATGCGCGCTGGGCTGACTGAATAAAAACCCACAAGCGTCAGTCCCATTGAACGCGAGCAGTGGTGTGTGCAAGCTCACCGAGCGACTTGTTGAGCCAGTCGGCCAGGTCTTCCTTGAGCGGAATAAGGTGCTCCTCCTGGCGTTTCGTGACACGAAGGTAAAACTCGTCCACGTCACGGGCACGGTGCGCCGCCGTCGCACTGTTGCAGCGGGGTTTCACAACCTGCGATTTAATTACATCCCCATGAGATGATTGATGGAGCGTAAACGACGGCGAATGAATGAATGACAACTTTCGGGTTTCCAAGTCCTCAAACCACGATATCATTATAAAAGACGGCGCAGAGGGCCTGACACTGCGCAGGACGCCGGCTGGGAGCGTTTGAACTCTATCAAAATACAGCCACCGTAGCAGAAAAATGAGTAATTCATTAATACCTTCACCCGTCCGTCCCCTCCGTTTCAGGCCAACCACTTATATAGTAGGGTCATACGTGCAACCGAGTAGAAAGAATTGCAAGGTCAGAGAACAGCATGTGTTCAGTGACGCAGCGACCGAGCTAAAACTCCCTAAGGTAAACAGGAAGCAATACATTAGGATGCGATCGCAGAAAAGAGCCACTTTAACCAACAGCAGCAATGCTGAACCATTCCGGCTACCTGCCTTCCGGGTCTATACGACCCCAACAAATTGGATCCACCACCCGACCGGCGCTACGCTATATAGGTGCATGCCGCAAGTTTTCACACACGGGCCCTGTCTGCAAGAAATGCTTCATTAGTCCCTACGCTTATTAATTTTTTTGTGCATTTGCGATGTGCAGATTACTGGCAAGCTGTTAGAGTGAAGTCCTTTTCGAACATACAACATATGGTGACTTTTCATGAAGAATCGTTTATAACTTACCCAATATTTATCAAATTTTGATAAAACGAAAAAAATTCTGTGCCTCCTAATGAGAGAACTTATTGCATACCGCATTTATGTTAATGAATACAGCAGAGACATAACCTCAACATAAGTTGTCGGTCCAATCGTCATTCAGAACAGACTTTCCGGGAGACTGGTCGGGGCGTCGCGGTATATATGGTAACGTGTAGTCCTGACTTTGAGCGACTTATTCCAAACGGGATGGGCTCAGGGGAAGCTTCTCACGCGATACCAAAGAGGTATCGATGAATTTGAGGAGCGAATTTCGTTAACTTTTGCTAAAATAAAGGAGTACTTGCAGAAGCCAGTAGCGGTGGTGCTTGTATATATAGAAGTAATTTTAGCGATTCAATGCAACTCACTTGGCAGTTACGAACAAAAGCCCTTTTATTTCATAAGAGTTAATGATGTCATAAATGTTATAAAAACATCAGGCAGTCTTATACTTAGCAGACACCGACAATATGACGAAGCTGGTGGCCTACAAAGAAGCCTTCTATTCGCCAATTACTTTAGTTGATAGAATGAGGTGGGATTTGAATGAAGCGGGGTTGAATGAAAAAGAATGAAGTTTACTAATGAAGCGACATGAAGTAGGTTGAATGAAGCGAGAATAAAGTGGCATAATGTGGATGATTGACGTGGGAGAAGTAGCGAGAGTAGTCGTGGGCGTACTGCTGAGTTTTGAGTGTAGTGGGAGCAGTAGCGCATATACGTAGTGACACTTGACCAATATCTGTGGCCCATACCAGCTCATATGAAAGACCCGACTAACAGCTCCTTCCCGGTTAAAATCTCACTGTATGGAATCATTATCCGCTCAACCTGTAGACGAAAGATATTTTGAAAATCGCTTCGTGATGACCTTTACGTGGAGTTGCATGAACGTCCCCACATGTTATCCCTTCAACTGTTGCGTGACGTAAGTTGTTTAAAAGAACTGTAGACATCAATTCATGAGCACAGCAGTTCAGAAAGAGGTGGATGCATAAACGAAATGTATGGGTACACCAGAATCATCCGCATACTCGGGAGTTGCATACATCTATCTGAGTCGGAGCACCCAATGCAGTCGCAAACGCACTCACCGCATCCGCAGCGTGCCTATCCTCCCTGGCGAGGTCGAGGCAAAAGTCGCCACTGACCCTCCGCCAAGGTGGGTAGCCACCGCCGCCAGAGACACCGTGGCCGGTCCTGACACTGCCGGCGCTGCGAACGCCGTTCCTGGCCGCGGAGGCAGCGCCGCCGCCATTGGAGGCGAACGCCGTCCGCACTATCGGTCCTCCACTGGACATCGGTGTGAATTCCTGCCCGGCCGGCAATTGGCGGATGTGGTGGTGATGACTTCGGAAGACAAGCCACGCCTTTCCTCTTACGTGGTTTCCAGCCGACACACGCGCACTGATGGCCTCCGCCTATTGGTCTGGTCTTCAGTCATGGCTTGGCTTGGTCTGGCTACGGGCGCTGATCAGGTATGAGTACGGCCTCTGGTCGTAGTTCCGGCTGCGAAGAATAGGAGAGAATGACCTTAATCAAGCAGCTTTTACTGGAAAGAGCTCGTCATAAAGCGCACAGAACCATGTCTATTTCACATCATAGATGGTTTACAAGGTTTAGATGCACATAAATCATAGGTAATGTGAGTGGTAGTGAACTCCCCCATGTTTTTCTTTTTAATTTTGCTTGCGCATATATACACGCACACGTACAAACGCACGCACGAACATGCATGGAAGTATAGTTGAGCCACCTCGAAAGGCTATTTTGGCTACGCATCCGGTGTGGCAAAAGATTATTGTTTATTGTTTTTCTTCAATATCCATTTCGTCACAGATTGCAAAGTGTCAGCGTTCTTTAGGCTCACTCAATACTCCACTGCGGAGCGATACAGGGGCAGGGTGGAACAATTAAAGGGGCAACTTAACCTGAGCATAGACAGCCCACATGAACTTCTTGGACCAGGTGGCCTATATACTCGTTATAAGCGTGTTATTCCGAGAGAAATGCTTGAAAGATGAAGAAAGGTCAGGAAGAGAACAGAGGAGCGCCCAGCTACCTTTTGTTCATTGACGGTCAACGCTCGACAACGAAGGAAACTTCCGAGCATACGCAGAGGCACAAGCTTGACGTCATATATGCCATTACGAATCGGTTCACAGCCAGTAGCATGCCAATAGTATAAGGCAAAAGTGACGGTGTGCCGCCGCGGGAGAAGTTACATTCTGCCCATATAAGTGTCTCGTTTGGCGCAAGTAAATCAACCCCGACCGTGGCAGCTGGAGGCGAAATGTTTGAGGCCCCTGTGCTTAGATTTAGGTGCACGTCGAAAAATTCTACAAGGTCGAAATTTCCGGAGCCTTCCGCTACGACTTCATATGTTGGTTTTAGGATGTTAAACACTCAGAATTATTATTGTCGCGTAAGTAAATATTGGCTAAAACAGACACCAAACGATGATGTTATACTGTCCAAGACATTACTGTTATTAGAAGGCAAGGGTCCACAGCTGACACACTAGCTGTATATGTGGATCACGGACACACTAGCTGTATATGTGGATCTGAATAGGGCTTTTTCAAAGACTGCATGTCTGACGTCACGCCACGCCTACGCGCCACTGCGCGTGCAAAATTTAGCTTCGTTTTGCGCACTCGACAGCTGAAACAAAACTGTGGAGGCTTGTGAGGAGGGTTCGGCTTAAACTGAGGACGACGCAGCGAGCGATGGAAAGGGAAATTATAGGTGTACCCTTAAATGACTGGAAAAGAACAGAGCGGATCAGGGAAATAACGGGTGTTAAAGACATCATAGCAGATATCAATTGATTGATTTGTGGGGTTTAACGTCCCAAAACCACCATATGATTATGAGAGACGCCGTAGTGGAGGGCTCCGGAAATTTAGACCACCTGGGGTTCTTTAACGTGACCCAAATCTGAGTACACGGGCCTACAACATTTCCGCCTTCATCGGAAATGCAGCCGCCGCAGCCGGGATTCGAACCCGCACCCTGCGGGTCAGCAACCGAGTACCATAGCCACTAGACCACCGCGGCGGGGCTAGCTGATATCAAGAACAAATGGACTATATATAGGTTTGGCGCCCGTAGCGCGTAGGCAGGATAACCGCTGGTCATTAAGGGTAATCGAATGGATTTCGAGGGAAGGCAAACGCCTGAAGGGGGAGATAGAAAGTTCGGCGGGCAGATGAGATTACGAAGTTTTCAGGTATAACATGGCAGCAGAAAGCACAGAACCAGTTTCATTGGCGGGACATGGGAGATGCCTTTGCCCTACAGTGGGCGTATCCGGATTGGCGATAATAACTACATAGTTGCTGGCTGGAGCTTCTCTGTATATTCTTAGTCCCTTCATGTTTCAATCACTGCGCCCACAATGACACGTTCATTGAGGCTACAAGTTAGAGAGCGGAAAGTGGCACATAATAACCACGGAAGTATAAACTTAGCCGTAGAAACTAAACGCCAAACACACAGAAAGCAACACTTTATTGCACCGCTATGAAAAAACAACTTCGGGAACGCTGCAGTTTTGGCCTTTTATAACTGGGGAACGTGATAAAAGGCAAACAAAAAGAGCAAAAATACAATTTTCAATTTTCCGCACTCTCGTCTCTCGTGTAGGAAGGCGCGAAAGACGCCGCCTTACGACAACACGCGAGAAAAAGACGGCAGGCTATAAGCGAGGAAACAATCGGCCGTTGATCAGCGGACCATACGGCCGACGCCACTCACACCGACTGCCTCCGCTCGGCGCCCACTCGTGCCGGTGGAAGCTGGCAGTACAGCCGTGCAAAGGAGTAAATCACACATCCGAGCCACTCCTTGGAAGCGAACAGACGGCTCCGCCGTTACTTTCACGATGCGACCCCGATTTCCTCCGCTTGCCACGAGTTCTACGTGAAAGCAAAGCGAGCTGCGTGGAGGAAAAAAAAAAAAAAGCTGAGGTCTAACGCCCGAGAGCTGAAAAAATACCAGACTATCACGGGAGCTCTATAAAAAACGCATATACACGTGTTTGGATATTTATTTCTTATCGGAATGCAGAGATAATAACATCTAGGGTTGTACGTACTAAATCTACAAGTGCGATTAAGAGGTATGCCGTAGCTGCGGAAAATTTCACCATCTGGTGTTCCTTACCGTGCCACGACATCGCACAGCACAAAGGTAACTAGCTCCTCCATTATAATGCGACTGCCGCGGCCCGGCTCGGAGCCGAAACCTTCTGGTCAGCACCACCCCGGCTAAACAAAGCAGAGAGAGCGTGAGCAGAAACTTTATCGAAAACGTGCGGCGGTATATTGAGCCGAATCGAGCTACAAGCACGCCGACCTATAGGTATAGCGGCCTCCATTAAAAAAGAAAAGAGAAAAAGAAAAACTGTAACACGGGATCTCGCTGGAGCTGACCTGACCGCACGTGGTCTCCCCTCAATCAGAAGCGGTATTGTGTTCTTCAGACGAGAAGAAAAATCGCCCAAGCGTCCGCTAAGGCGACACCTCCCGATCAAGAATATTGTGACGTTCTTGTGACGGTGAAAGAAAGCAGTTACAGTAAAGACCAATCTTGGACGAATTTGGGACAGACGTCGGCGGAACCATTTATAGAACAGGTTCTGTAAACCTTCGTCGTGAGCAGAAGGACACCAAAAGCCTACAACACGTACCAGCGCTCACAGTGGTCGGATGCCAAATATTGTGAATTGCTAGGAGTAAAGCGCATGTCGGATTTTCATACCTGTGAAATCGAAGCTTCCAGCGTAATCCGTTAGTGGCCGAGTCAGCTTCAGATCATTTTGAAATGCGCAGCACTTCACGGGCCGTCGTGGTCGCCAAGGATGCCAGGTTTGACTACTTTGCGGCTAATTAGGCTAATCTTCTAGGCCGGTGGTGACAGAAAAATCGTCGTGGCTTCTTGGCTCTTTCTCTTGGCTACTTTTCTGCATTCTGTATTAGAGCTACAATATCGACATCTAACGACAGGTACCGCCGCTGGTGGTGTTCAAGTATTGTCACGAGGTCGTGACGTGTACACGAAGGAAGCAGTCGGCGTGTTCAAGACTGCTCTTTTTATTATGGCCAACCTGTGGCTCGAAAATGCAAAAGTACAAGGAATACACGCTGTACACTGACCCCCGTATTCACAAACGCTCCTCGACTCGACAGAGTTGAGCAGTGCACCGCCGCTCGGCTGAAAATGACGCTGCGCTACTCAATAATCGCAGAAGATTATCCCTGATATGCCCTGACTTCCCGTTCTTAGAGATGGCGCTCCCATCGGCTTTCTCGAGTGAAGGTGAAGCGTTGAGTGAAGGGACGTTCTAGAATACGGGAGTGAAAGTGTCGTGGACAGTCGTCGCCAATCGAGTATTCTGATCAGCGACACCGACACTTAGGCATGCAGCGTCGAAACCTTATCACTGGTGGCCACGTTATTCACAGAATATGCTCAGCTGCTCGCGTTTGTGCATTCAAGCCTAACAGATATTCCTGACATGACTTATGGAATTTACCGACGCATTCTGGTGCGGCTTGTCCAAGGCAGTATCTACCCGTCCAATGGGCCCGGTTACATAAAAACAGGATGAAAGCTCGTGTGGAAATATGGCGGCCAAACATGGCAACCACACCATACTTCCAACTCTGAAAATTAGGCTTTGCACTTGGATGGTGGAGCTAACGAACTTTGATAGGAAAGAATAGAACAGCAGCCCTATAAGAAAGCGTAAGGGCCAGTGGTGGAGGCAATAACCTGCCAATCAAGTAAGCCTCAGCGCACATAGAAACAAATTCCTTTTGAATACCGGCATGGACCTCCGCGAGAACTGCTGCACGGGCCTCGTTTTGCCGATCGACAATTGCTGAACGCGGCTTTCAACCACATTCGGAAGTGAACGGGAATTGATAGCGCAACATATCCTTAGGCAACTATAGTCATCGACGTCGTAAATAGGGTATCCGTCATTTCAAGTGAGAACTTAAAAACCAGTACACTAGAAGCTAAGGCGGCAGCAATAGCGCTCATTAACAACAATTGTTAGTGACACGTCTTCTCTTGCCGTCTTTGTCCGTTGTGTTCTGCCTTTTTTTTTTTTAGCGCTCTCTTTTAGGTCTCGCTAGCAACTCGATCACCAATGCATTTCTCAGGATATCCGACGAACGATTGCATGATACCGTGCCTCTGGATTCATCACGGAAGAAATTAAAGTGAACGTGACTAGATATTTAATGCTGCAATGCCAGCAAGTATGACTTTGAGTGGACTCATCATGCCGTAGACTCAATTTTATTGTAACAACTTTTAGACATTTAAAAAAAACAAATAAATTATGCAACACACGCGAAGACCACCTTGTTTTTTTACAGCTGCGCAAACGCTATAGTTCATCTTGCTCATGAAACGATTGCGAATTTATGCTGCAGCCCAGGAACGATAATACTGGCGTGTTCGTGCTGCGCATCGTTACATTTTGATCGAA